CCCTTGAGCAAGGCACTTAACCCTAATTGCTCCTGTAAGTCATTCTAGATAAGAGCATCTACTGAATGACGGAAATGTAAAATGTATTTTCACGCATAAAAGAGACACGTGATCATATACAAATGTAAGCAAGGTTTGAAATTATTATGTTTTGTCAAATATTATATCTGTTTGGGCTTCTTGCAGTCAATTTGACTAGGCCATTCCAAGACATTAAATGTTTCCCCTTAAACCACTCAAGTGTTGCTTTAGCAGTATGCTTAGGGTCATTGTCCTGCTGGAAGGTAAACCTCCATCCCAGTCTCAAATCTCTGGAAGACCGAAACAGGTTTCCCTCAAGAATTTCCCTGTATTTAGCGCCATCCATCATTCTTTCAATTCTGACCAGTTTCCCTGTCCCTGCCGATGAAAAACATCCCCACAGCATGATGCTGCCACCACCATGCTTCACTGTGGGGATGGTGTTCTCGGGGTGATGAGAGGTGTTGGGATTGCGCCAGACATAACGTTTTCCTTGATGGCCAAAAAGCTAAATTTTAGTCTCATCTGACCAGAATACCTTCTTCCATATGTTTGGGGAGTCTCCCACATAATAATAATAATAAGCCATTTAGCAGACGCTTTTATCCAAAGCGACTTACAGTCATGCGTGCATACATTTTTGTGTATGGGTGGTCCCGGGGATCGAACCCACTACCCTGGCGTTACAAGAGCCGTGCTCTACCAGCTGAGCTACAGAGGACCACGATGTGTTTCTTGACATAATCTCAAAGATTATGGAGGAGTGTAAATACAGCAGTAGTTACAAGACTTTATTAGTTCAGAACTTCTTTACATAACACATTGGAAATTATTTAAAAAGGGTCATTTCATGTATTTTACTCATTCTACAATAGACCCAAACAGAAAAAAAACAAAGGAGGTGGGGGGGTTGGATTTTCCAGGGGGCTGTGATTCAGCAAATGAGTGCATGATCTAATGCCAAATCACTTCTTTCCAGACTTCTTGATTCCTCCACCAGTTAAAGGTCCCTTTCCTGCTGCTTTCGTCTTCAATGCCTCCAAGGCTTTCTGGTCTTCTTTCTGCTTCTGTTTGAAGGCCATTTCATCATCATCCATTTCCTTAGTGGCTTTCTTGGCAGCTTTTAGGGGCTTCTTTTTACCACCTTCTCTTCCAGACATATTTGCAATTTTTTCAAGAAAATCTCAAGAAAACCACTGAGCTAGCGTGTTAGCAGTTGCGTTGTAATCCGCGCTGTTAGGACCTTACTTACTTACTCACTTACTTACTACATGCCTTTTGGCGAACACCAAACGTGTTTGCTTATTTTATTCTTTAAGCAATGGCTTTTTTCTGGCCACTCTTCCGTAAAGCCCAGCTCTGTGGAGTGTACGGCTTAAAATGGTCCTATGGACAGATACTCCAATCTCCGCTGTGGAGCTTTGCAGCTCCTTCAGGGTTATCTTTGGTCTCTTTGTTGCCTCTCTGATTAATGCCCTCCTTGCCTGGTCTGTGAGTTTTGGTGGGCGGCCCTCTCTTGGCAGGTTTGTTGTGGTGCCATATTCTTTCCATTTTTTAATAATGGATTTAATGGTGCTCCGTGGGATGTTCAAAGTTTCTGATATTTTTTTATAACCCAATCCTGATCTGTACTTCTCCACAACTTTGTCCCTGACCTGTTTGGAGAGCTCCTTGGTCTTCATGGTGCTGCTTGCTTGGTGGTGCCCCTTGCTTAGTGGTGTTGCAGACTCTGGGGCCTTTCAGAACAGGTGTATATATACTGAGATCATGTGACACTTAGATTGCACACAGGTGGACTTTATTTAACTAATTATGTGACTTCTGAAGGTAATTGGTTGCACCAGATCTTATTTAGGGGCTTCATAGCAAAGGGGTGAAAACATATGCAGGCACCACTTTTCCGTTATTTATTTTCTTGCATTTTTTAAAGCAAGTTATTTTTATCATTTCACTTCACCAATTTGGACTATTTTGTGTATGTCCATTACATGAAATCCAAATAAAAATCCATTTAAATTACAGGTTGTAATGCAACAAAATAGGAAAAACGCCAAGGGGGATGAATACTTTTGCAAGGCACTGTATGTTCCTAGAGCACAGGCAGTGTGGTCCCCTGCTCTTCTGGTACCAGTGCTGTAGTAAAGGATGCTAGGCTTAGCAGAGACAGCTCAGAGGTGAGTGCAGTGGAGGTAGGAAGAAAACAGAGAGACACAGATGTATTGCCAGTTCCTTAATATGTTGGCTCTATATGTAATAACAATTAACACTTACAGTGAGGGAAAAAAGTATTTGAGCCCCTGCTGATTTTGTACGTCTGCCAACTGACAAATCATGATCAGTCTATAATTTTAATGGTAGGTTTATTTGAACAGTAAGAGACAGAATAACAACAACAAAATCCAGAAAAACGCATGTCAAAAATGTTGTAAATTGATTTGCATTTTAATGAGGGAAATAAGTATTTGACCCCTCTGCAAAACATGACTTAGTACTTGGTGGCAAAACCCTTGTTGGCAATCACAGAGGTCAGATGTTTCTTGTAGTTGGCAACCAGGTTTGCACACATCTCAGAAGGGATTTTGTCCCACTCCTCTTTGCAGATCTTCTCCGAGTCATTAAGGTTTCGAGCCTGACGTTTGGCAAATCGAACCTTCAGCTCCCTCCACAGATTTTCTATGGGATTAAGGTCTGGAGACTGGCTAGGCCACTCCAGGACCTTAATGTGCTTCTTCTTGAGCCACTCCTTTGTTGCCTTGGCCGTGTGTTTTGGGTCATTGTCATGCTGGAATACCCATCCACGACCCGTTTTCAATGCCCTGGCTGAGGGAAGGAGGTTCTCACCCTAGATTTTACGGTACATGGCCCTGTCCATCGTCACTTTGATGCGGTGAAGTTGTCCTGTCCCCTTAGCAGAAAAACACCCCCAAAGCATAATGTTTCCACCTCCATGTTTGACGGTGGGGATGGTGTTATTGGGGTCATAGGCAGCATTCCTCCTCCTCCAAACACGGTCGAGTTGAGTTGATGCCAAAGAGCTCGATTTTGGTCTCATCTGACCACAACACTTTCACCCAGTTCTCCTCTGAATCATTCAGATGTTCATTGGCAAACTTCAGACGGGCCTGTATACGTGCTTTCTTGAGCAGGGGGACCTTGCGGGCGCTGCAGGATTTCAGTCCTTCACGGCATAGTATGTTACCAATTGTTTTCTTGGTGACTATGGTCCCAGCTGCCTTGAGATCATTGACAAGATCCTCCTGTGTAGTTCTGGGCTGATTCCTTACTGTTCTCATGATCATTGCAACTCCAAGGGGTGAGATCTTGCATGGAGCCCCAGGCAGAGGGAGCTTGACAGTTCTTTTGTGTTTCTTCCATTTGTGAATAATCGCACCAACTGTTGTCACCTTCTCACCAAGCTGCTTCGCGATGGTCTTGTAGCCCATTCCAGCCTTGTGTAGGTCTACAATCTTGTCCCTGACATCCTTGGAGAGCTCTTTGGTCTTGGCCATGGTGGAGAGTTTGGAATCTGATTGATTGATTGCTTCTGTGGACAGGTGTCTTTTATACAGGTAACAAGCTGAGATTAGGATCACTCCCTTTAAGAGTGTGCTCCTAATCTCAGCTCGTTACCTGTATAAAAGACACCTGGGAGCCAGAAATCTTTCTGATTGAGAGGGGGTCAAATACTTATTTCCCTCTTTAAAATGCTAATCAATTTATAACATTTTTGACATGCGTTTTTCTGGATTTTTTTGTTGTTATTCTGTCACTCACTGTTCAAATAAAACTACCATTAAAATTATAGACTGATCATTTCTTTGTCAGTGGGCAAACGTACAAAATCAGCAGGGGATCAAATACTTTTTTCCCTCACTGTAGGAGTGACAGACAGAGTGACAACAGAGGAGTACAAGGAGAAGCAAAGACAGACAGACACAGTGACAGACAGACGGACAGACAGAGACAGAGTGACCGCAGAGAAGATGCAGAGACAGACTGCACAACAGGGGGGCAACAGAGGCACATTTATAGTGGTGAGTTGTCTCGCCATGAGCTGGTTAAAAAGAGCTGATTAAAAAAGGAAAAGGACTATGTTTTTTCAGCAGTCACTGGTACAGTAAAAGTTGAGAAATGATATACTATAATTGCCTATGTTATGTGTCAGTAGCATTACTGACTGTGTGTAAGTAGCGGGGGTGCGCACAGTGCATGCAGTGATGTGGGCTGGTGTGGCTGAAATGCCAGGGCTGAATTTTTGTCCCAGTCCGCCCCTGGTAACAACTCTAACAACTGTAGTGACTGTAAGGACAGGTACAAATCATGTCATAGAGTCAGTCTGAACTTTTAAGGAGACCACAAAAGGATTAGACTGATTAGTCTCTTTGGGATTCAAGATCATTTGTAGCAGATATCTAATGTACATTATATGAATGCCAATAATCTACAGTAGCCTACAATATCTACAGTAACCTACAATATCTACAGTAGCCTACAATATCTACAGTAACCTACAATATCCTTGGGACTTGTAGAGCATCACTTAACATTCTGTCTAAGTAGCACAGGGGTAGGCCTATAAGAGCGTATCCTAAAAACAACATAAAGCTGAAACAAACAGAGATGTCCAGTGTTGAAAGATGAAGTGAGAGAGTAGGGGAACTGTCCCTGTTAGGTTCCAATGTGATTAATCAAGTTCAAATATAGGGACACCTGATATAGAAGTGATGACATCGTCTCTCATGGAAATTATTCACAGTAAGCCTGCTGTAATGTCACATTTAAAATTGGCTCGCAAATAAAAAAACAACCACAGATATACTGCTGCTACTGGGTATAATTTGGTTCAAATGTGTATAACATCTATGTTAAATCTCTGTCCTCATGGATTAGGTTCTAGTCTGCTGTGCAGTAGCCAAGGGAGCCATCAACAGTATTGGGACGGGGCCAGAATCAGCAGCTTAACGTCATCATAGAGGAGGGGCTATGTAAATTTAGCAGAATAATGTAAAGGGATGGTGCCTGCTATTTCCACTTGCCCATCAATAAAATCTAGGGGGGAAATCGTCGACTCAAATTGCTGAATTAAAAAGAAAAAGGATATCATATTCTCTCATCTCTAGGCATTAGTCCAGAATATATGGAACATGGCATCGAAATGTCCTAAATGCGACAAGACGGTTTATTTTGGTAAGTGCATTTTTCATATGATCATATAGCCTATCCTCCCATGTCTGTAGTGTGTGAAAACCCCCCGAGTGAGCTATGTAGGCCTAATTACTTAGGCAATTGTAGACACCGTTACAGCTATTGTTTTCTCAAATATAAGCACACTGTCACGTTATAATTATACAGTAAGCCTAGACAATATTACCCTACAGATTGGGGTAGACCTAATTGGCAATTGTACTGCCTTTGATCTATTTTATTAGAATGAACCAGTAGGCTATTTACTTTAGGTATTGGTCAGCGGCGTCAGCCTAGCGTGCCTATATATAGGTTAAACCAATTAGGCCCTGACTGTAAAGCCTACATCTGTTTATGCAGTATTTGTGTTGCTTAAGCCATGCAAGGAGGTGTGATCATTTCTTCCTTCATGAGGACATATGGGAAACCTATGTCCCACGTGTATTGGCTAGCCTATACATCGGTCAGAACAGTGAAAATATTGGCCCTCACCGCTCTGCAGACGTGTGAAAACATCTGTCCACAGATTAATGACATAAGCAGCCTTTCCCATTGATGGCTATTAGATGGATTTAAAAGCAATATCTTCTCCTTAACCGATACTGTTTACAGTAGGCCTATTCAGGGAATGTGTTCTTAGTTTTAAAAGATTTAAGATACCCAGCCTAGCTGCTTGGCACAATAAAGAGATTGAGATAGCCAATTAATTAGGCATAGGCTAACATGTTGCTGAGCTGATAGATAGGCCCTACCTTCCATATAAATAATTAATTTGTCACATCTGTGTGATGGATTGACTTTGCCCAGGCCTACACTACATGACCAAAAGTATGTGGACACCTGCTTGTTGAAAATCTCATTCCAAAATCATGGGCATTAATATGGAGTTGGTCCCCCCTTTGCTGCTATAACAGCCTCCACTCTTCTTGGAAGGCTTTCCACTAGATGTTGGAACATTACTGCTCACTACACCCGCAATAACATCTGCTAAATATGTGTATGTGACCAATAACATTTTATTTGATTTTATTTGATTGCTGTGGGGACTTGCTTCCATTCAGCCACAAGAGCATTAGTGAGGTCGGGCACTGATGTTGGGCGATTAGGCCTGGCTCGCAGTCGGCGTTCCAATTCATCCCAAAAGTGTTCAATGGGGTTGAGGTCAGGGCTCTGTGCAGGCCAGTCAAGTTCTTCCACACTGATCTCGAAAAACCATTTCTGTATGGACCTCGCTTTGTGCACGGGGGCATTGTCATGCTAAAACAGGAAAGGGCCTTCCCCATAGAATCGTTTAGAATATCATTGTATGCTGTAGGGTTAAGATTTCCTTTCACTGGAACTAAGGGGCTTAGCCCGAACCATGAAAAACAGCCCCAGACCATTATTCCTCCTCCACCAAACTTTACAGAGAACGAGTTTCCACTGCTCCAGAGTCCAATGGTGGGCTTTATACCACTCCAGCTGACGCTTGGCATTGCGCATGGTAATCTTAGGCTTGTGTGCGGCTGCTTGGCCATGGAAATCCATTTAATTAAGCTCCCGATAAACAGTTCTTATACTGACGTTGCTTCCAGAGGCAGTTTGGAACTCGGTAGTGAGTGTTGCAACCGAGGACAGACGATTTTTGCGCGCTTCGCGTTTCAGCACTTGCCGGTCCCGCTCTGTGAGCTTGTGTGGCCTACCACTTTGTTGCTGAGCCGTTGTTGCTCCTAGACATTTCCACTTTACAATAACAGCACTTCCAGTTGACCGGGGCAGGTCTAGTAGGGCAGATATTTGACGAACTGACTTGTTGGAAAGGTGTTATCCTATGACGGTAAGGCCATTCTACTGCCAATGTTTGTCTATGGATATTGCATGGCTGTGTGCTCGATTTTATGCACCTGTCAACAACGGGTGTGGCTGAAATAGCCGAATCCACTAATTTGAAGGGGTGTCAACATACTTTTGTATATATAGTGTATCTCTGGAGAACAATAGGAATCCGATTTCAGCGCTAACTGGCATGGACAGCTCCCTAAGAAGGAAATGGCGCGCGAGCCAGCCGACCGACCAAACCAATGGCAGAGTGTGCATGTGAGTCCAAGACACTGTAAAGGACAAGCCGATTCAACATGTTCTCTCATAATGGCCTACCAGACCTGGCTGCTTATGTCATACATGATTCAATCTAGTGTCAGTTATTTGTTTCCCACTCCCCTGTAAAAAGTAGGCCCCTATACACCATAGTAAAAAAAAACAATGAAAGAAAGAGATTGTTTTGATCGTTCTTCTTAGACTATATTACACTCTTTTTCATGAGTTAAAACAGTAAGTGTGGGCCTATGATTGTCAGTGGCAGTGCGTCAGAATAAAACCTCTGGAAACCTCCTTGCAACACTTTTCACTCATCTTGAAGCATCTGTTTCTTCTTACCTAATTAGCCCCAAATGGGCAATGTCTTGGGCATTCTATCTGGTAATGAATTAATTAATTAATGAATACCGGATATTACTTGAAATCTGCTTACTGTCTAGCATCTTAATACTTTCCCTTATGGAAGGTCCCTTAGAATTTTCCCTCTGACCCGTACTTGTGTAGCGTGTCACCAATAAAGAGGGCAATGCCACTCTCTTTGTGTTTATTCGCATATTCACACACTGCCCCTTAGGCTCCTAGTTCCTTTAGTCCGTGTCTGCTTTGATGCTATCATTGAGGGCTGCTAAATCTGCAGTGTTTACTTCTCTACTCCCACTCTCATTATGAAATACTGCATATTCTCTCTGAGTCCCTTTGCCTCGGGAGTTTAGATGATGTTTGATGTACGTTACGTAACTCCTAGTCTTTGATTTAGCCCCCACAAGTTCTCCTCTCTCATTTTAACACTCTAATCTGGGTCGCGGCATAATCATCATCAGCCATATCTCTGAAACTGTACTGACTTCATGTGTCATTTAGTGTTGCTGTTCCTGTCCATGAAAACTGATAATAATCCTCTATCCTCCCTGACTTTCAGTTATAGGCTGTGTCCCAAACAGCACCCTATTGCCTATGTGGTGCACTAAATAGGGAATACACTCTTAGAAAAAAAGGTGCTATCTAGAACATAAAAGCGTTATTCGGCTGTCCCCTTGGATAACTCTTTGGAGAACCCTTTTTGGTTCCATGTAGAACCCTTTTGGGTTCTAGGTAGAACCCTTTTCACAGAGTGTTTTACGGAACCAAAAAGGGTTCTCCTATGGGGACATCCAAGGAACCCTTTTGGAACCCTTTTTTCTAAGAGTGTAAGGTGCCATTTGGGATCCAGCCATGGAGTCCTGCTCCCACACTGCCACTGGATGGATCTCATCAACAGATACAGGATGAGACGTAATCACATATTGTACCAGAGGGCAAACAAAATCCCTCTAATCAACCTTCATTATTTAGACTGAACAACCCCCACAGCCTTCTCTCACTTTCTCACTCTGTCTTTATCTCTTTCTCGTTTACTCTCTCTGTTTTACTGTGTGTGCGTGCGTGTGTGCGTGTGTGTGTGTTTGTGTGCATGCTTGCATGCCATCCGTGCAGTTGGGAAAGGTAGAGGGGGAGAACAAGAGAGAGAGAAAGAGAGAGACCGACAGAGAGAGAGAGAGAGAGAGAGAGAGAGAGGGAGAGAGAACACCCTGCAGGGACAGACTCTCATGACTCTCAAAGCAAAGTGGCTATTGTCTGTCTGCCGAGTTGACTATGTGGTCACTGCCTCCCACTTAACTGTATCTTACATTAGTGACAGGTCGCCAGATTGGGTGTGCCAGAGGCATGTGGCCTGCCTCGGTATTCTGGGCTATATCTAACAGAGGTTAGAGATAAAAGCCTAATTGAGTAGCTTGTTCTATCATTTATATGGCCTCACTCTCTCCTTGCAATCCCACAGCAGCCAGGGACAGGCATTAGACATTGATTTACAGAAAGCATTTGTAGCATAATGACTGTAGTCTAATTTGTAGGCAGATTGTGAGAGTGCGTGCGTGCCAATGTGTGCGAGTGGGTGTGTGTGCGTGCCTGTGTGTGTATGTTTGAGTGTGTGTCTGACAGAATGATGGCCAGGCGGAACAGACAGAAGTGGGGCAGAGGCTTTGGGATTTGAGATATGAAACAGGCTTTTGAATTACAATGGTGACTCATCCTATGAGTAAGTCTGGCACAGCGGGTGCAAAGCACCAAAAGATACACTGACCAGAAAAGACTGGAGGCACAATGGAGATGTGGAGAAAATGGTGGAATCAATATAACATGATAATCAACATAAAAGAGAATCTACTCCTCTGTACAACGGAGATAACCAGACTTCCGTTCAGAAGGCAATGGACAGGGTGCAGTTGAGGTTGATAAAGAAATGAATGACCAACACAATCCAACCACCAGAGAAATGTTCTTCCCTACCGAACTAGCTCACTCTAGCATCTCATACTCTAAATGTGTAAATGCAACCACATCTAAATGTTTAAATGCAACCACAACATGTCCCTTTCCTGTCCCCCCCCCCCCCCCCCCTCTCTCTCTCCTCCCCCCAGCGGAGAAGGTGACATCTCTGGGGAAAGACTGGCACAAGTTCTGTCTGAAATGTGAGCGCTGCAACAAGACCCTGAACCCAGGGGGCCATGCTGAGGTAAGAGGAGTCAGTAGCTTACCCCACACAGAGACAGTCAGAGGACAACCGCAGGGGACTTTGTGGACAATAGAGAGGAGTAACTAGGCAGACATTTTGGCTCTGTTACCATAGATCTCTGAGAGGGTTAGAGAGGGTTAGGCCATCACGGGGAGAGTATCGGTATTCTGACATAGCCTATTGATCAATATGGGTACTGTACAGTACTATACAGGAGGCTAGGCCAGTTACGAACAGAGAGGATTGGCTTCTATTGAGGTTCATACAGGCTACTAAAGTATGTGGTTTTATGTGTAGTGTTCAGTGCAATCTGAAATCCATTGGGTTCCTCTCTTATTTGTGGCATGTTTGTTTAAAATATCCCCCCAAAGCTACATCAACTATTTTAAACTCAATTCAGTCATGTAGCCCTCAATGCTAGAATGGATGTCAATATGTTATAGGGGTATTTTTACTTGAGTTTATACCACAATTCACCCCAACACAGTCCAATGGATTTGTTCCTAGATACTTTTGCTCATTGTCTTTCTTTCTGTTCACAGCATGATGGAACACCCTACTGCCACAAGCCATGCTATGCTGCCCTCTTTGGACCAAAAGGTGAAATACATCAACTTTATGGCCAGCCATTATTTTGTTTTGTGCTTTATGTGCTTAAACATTTACATTTTTACATTTTTAGTCATTTAGCAGACGCTCTTATCCAGAGCGACTTACAATTAGCTTATAAAATGTTTAATCGCAGTAATCTTCTCCAGAGTCTTATAAAAGGAAACTGCGTTGGTTAATGTGTTCGCACAATATGTAATGAAGCCTCTCGCTGTAGGTGTGAACATTGGAGGTGCTGGCTCTTATGTCTACGAGGCTCCTGTCAACGATACAACTGCCAGTGTTTCCACGGAAACAGAGGCCAAACCTGAGGAGAAGAAAGCTCACGCCAGAGGCCCAGTGAAGGGTAAGGAACATGAGAGAAAAAAACGAAAGATATAGAGAAGGACAAACTCAAAAAAGAGAGATAGAGCTACTGTCATGTGTTATCCCATATGGAGAGGGTATTCAGTGTATTTTGACCACTGGTTGTGTAACAATCCTGTTCTTCTCCATCTCTTTTTGACACAGCTGCAAGCTTCTCAACTTTTTCTGGAGAGCCCAGTAAATGTCCAAGGTGCAGCAAGACAGTGTATTTCGGTAAGCCTGTTATGTTATTGTCCATGTCATTTAGTATGTGCATATGTGGATGTGAGTGGGTGTCTACAATGCACATGGTGGCTGGCCACTGGAAGTACTAGAGGAATGTTGTTTCCATGGTGATACAGTATGTCTGAAATTGTGTGTGTGTGTGCGTGTGCGTGCGTACGCTTCCGTGTGTGCTTGTGTGTGCAGCTGAGAAGGTAACGTCCCTGGGGAAGGACTGGCATCGACCCTGTTTGCGCTGTGAGAGGTGCTGCAAGACCCTGGCCCCGGGAAGCCACGCAGAGGTGAGAGACAGAAGACGGGGAGAAGGGGTAGGGAAGCGGGAGATGTGGGGAGGGGAGAAAGGAGAACAAATAGAAAGATTTAAGGAGATGCCCTGTCTGTGCTCTCTGTGAAGGCAGGAAGCAGAGCCATATACAGTTGAAGTCGGAAGTTTACATACACCTTAGCCAAATACATTTAAACTCAGTTTTTCACAATTCCTGACATTTAATCCTAGTAAAAATTCCCTGTTTTAGGTCAGTTAGGATCACCATGTTATTTTAAGAATGTGAAATGTCAGAATAATAGTAGAGAGAATTATTTATTTCAGCTTTAATTTCTTTCATCACATTCCCAGTGGGTCAGAAGTTTACATACACTCAATTAGTATTTGGTAGCATTGCCTTTAAATTGTTTAACTTGGGTCAAACGTTTCGGGTAGCCTTCCACAAGTTTCCCACAATAACTTGGGTGAATTTTGGCCCATTCCTCCTGACAGAGCTGGTGTAACTGAGTCAGGTTTGTAGGCCTCCTTGCTCGTACACGCTTTTTCAGTTCTGCCCACACATTTTCTATAGGATTGAGGTCAGGGCTTTGTGATGGCCACTCCAATACCTTGACATTGTTGTCCTTAAGCCATTTTGCCACAACTTTGGAAGTATGTTTGGGGTCATTGTCCATTTGGAAGACCCATTTGCGACCAAGCTTTAACTTCCTGACAGATGTCTTGAGATGTTGCTTCAATATATCCACATAATTTTCCTTCCTCATTATGCCATCTATTTTGTGAAGTGCACCAGTCCCTCCTGCAGCAAAGGACCCCCACAGCATGATGCTGCCACCCCCGTGCTTCACGGTTGGGATGGTGTTCTTCGGCTTGCAAGCACCCCCTTTTCCCTCCAAACATAACGATGGTCATTATGGGCAAACAGTTCTATTTTTGTTTCATCAGACCAGAGGACATTTCTCCAAAAAGTACGATCTTTGTCCCCATGTGCAGTTGTAAACCATAGTCTGGCTTTTTTATGGCGGTTTTGGAGCAGTGGCTTCTTCCTTGCTGAGCGGCCTTTCAGGTTATGTCGATATAGGACTCGTTTTACTGTGGATATAGATACTTTTGTACCTGTTTTCTCCAGCATCTTCATAAGGTCCTTTGCTGTTGTTCTGGGATTGATTTGCACTTTTCGCACCAAATACGTTCATCTCTAGGAGACAGAACGTGTCTCCTTCCTGAGCGGTATGACGGCTGCGTTTGTACAGATGAACGTGGTACCTTCAGGCATTTGGAAATTGCTCCCAAGGATGAACCAGACTTGTGGAGGTCTACAATTTTTTTCTGAGGTCTTGGCTGATTTCTTTTGATTTTCCCATGATGTCAAGCAAAGAGGCACTGTTTGAAGGTAGGCCTTGAAATACATCCACATGTACACCTCCAATTCAATCAAATGATGTCAATTAGCCTATCAGAAGCTTCTAAAGCCATGGCATAATTTTCTGGAATTTTCCAAGCTGTTTAAAGGCACAGTCAACTTAGTGTATGTAAACTTCTGACCCACTGGAATTGTGATACAGTGAATTATAAGTGAAATAATCTGTCTGTAAACAATTGTTGGAAAGATTACTTGTGTCATGCACAAAGTAGTGTGGTTGAAAAACAAGTTCTAATGACTCCAACCTAAGTGTATGTAAACTTCCGACTTCAACTGTAAATATACTGTTATTAGACCACGGCCGCCGGTCCACCCATCACAGAACGTTTACAGTACTTGAATGGGAATCTGAATGACATTTTCACATACTCTGAATTTGAGAAGGTGCTGCTAGTGATAGACAGCATATAGACAAAAGGATTACACATAATCTACATACAGTACATACAATATAAATACAATAAACAAAGAACAATTACACATGATAGGAGAGTATACAAATGTACAGTTGAAGATGTACAGAGAATGTACTAAGAATATACTTATAAAATGTACAATTTACAGTGGTAGTGCAGCATAGTGCAGTTCTAGTAATTCTATTTCTATGGCCATAGATATATACATAGGCCTATAATGCATGTGGCAGGAAGTGTCTGGGTACAGTAAATTATATTAATTCCATTCTGTTTCAGCATGATGGGCAGCCCTACTGCCACAAACCGTGCTATGCCACCCTGTTTGGGCCCAAAGGTATGCTATACTCAAGACTTTCTTCCTCTTAACCATATGAAAGACCAACCACCCAATTGCTATGCTTTACATGTATTCATATATTTCATAGATATCACCATATTCAGATGTATCTTGTCCATTGCTCCCTTCCAGGGGTGAACACTGGAGGTGTTGGGAGCTACATCTACGATGAACCCAGCGCTGAGGCAGAGACTGAGGCCCAGCCTTGAGTCTACCCATACCCCCCCACCACCTCCACCTCCAGCCAGACCTCTTCAACATTAGCTCACTCACCTCATGCCTTGTTACTATCACCAGTCTTAGATAGACTCACCCTATCTGTATTTCCAACCTGTCCCTACACTTTCTACTCTGCCAGATGAACTATTTATTATAGTCTCCTTTAGGTTATTCAGCATCTACAGAAACCAAGTTTCAAATAATACATGATAAATATTTAGAATGTTCTGTTGTATTTCAATATTGTTTATACCTCTACTTTTTGTATTGAAATGAATCTTTATAGCTAACTTCTCCCCTGTGGAATGTACAGTAGGGTCATCGGTGACTCCTTCCTCATTGTTCATGTCTCTCCAAGATGCCAAATCAACAGAATTGTGTGTAAGATGTACAGTATAATGTGTATTAAATGAAAGCCACCATATGGTTTGACTCGACACAATACAGCACAGACGTAGTGAGGGAAAGATGAGGGGGTGGTAGGCCTACTGTTTTTCATTCCCTGAAAATAATGTAATTTGTCTGTGCACCTATAAAGACATGACATACACAACTGTCATGATGATTTCCAAGCTATCCGCTATAGGCCTATTCAGTATGTTCTTGCCAAGCTCACCCTGTGTCAGGATGACAGTGTAGAGACAAAATAGATAGAGCATACTAGGAATGTGCATTATTGTTAGCCTATTGTTGGTGATTGATTATGTTTTGTACTTTGGGTCTTTGTGCACCAAAGGTGTGTTACTTAAGAACAGGGGTCATCAGAGGTTTTCTACAATAAAGTTGTGAGAACATGAAAGGTTGTTTTGTGTCATATTTGGGGAAAAATGTAAGAAGGGTTATTTACAGGAACCTGTTACATATTGGTAGTTACAGTGTAGGCTACAACTCAGACAAAGATAAATGATATAAAGATAAACAAAGATAAATTATATAAAGAATGATAGTAAAAAGCTTTGGAGCACCTTAAATGAAATGTTGGGCAAAAAGGCAAACTCGGCTCCATCATTCATTGAATCAGATCATTCATCACAAAACCCACTGATATAACTAATGTTTTTTTAATTGGCAAGGTTAGCAAATTTAGGCATGACATTCCAACATTAAATTCTAAACCTACACATCCATGCATAACTGACCAAATTATGAAAGACAAGCATTGTCATTTTGAATTCCGTAAAGTGAGTGTGGAAGAGGAGAAACAATAATTGTTGTCTATCAACAATGACAAGCCACTTGGGTCTGACAACTTGGATGGAAAATTACTGAGGATCATAGCGGACGATATTGCCACTCCTATTTGTCATCTTTTCAATCTAAGCCTCCAGGAAAGTGTGTGCCCTCAGGCCTGGAAGGAAGCAAAAATCATTCAGCTACCTTTACTGAATCAAACAACCGACCAATCAGCCTGTTACCAACCCTTAGTAGTATTTTGGAAAAAATGGTGTTCGACCAGATACAATGCTATTTCACAGTTATAGGGAAAGGCATTCAACATGTATGGCACTTACACAAATGACTGATGATTGGCTGAGAGAAACTGATAATAAAAAGATTGTGGGAGCTGTTTTTGTTAGACTTCAGTACAGCTTTTGACATTATCGATCATAATCTGCTGTTGGAAAAACGTGCACTACCAGTCAAAAGTTTGGACACACCTACTCATTCAAAGGTTTTTATTTATTTTTACTATTTTTTACATTGTAGAATAATAGTGAAGACATCAAAATGATGAAATAACACATATGGAATCATGTAGTAACCAAAAAAATTTGTTAAACAAATCAAAATATATTTTATATTTGAGATTCTTCAAATAGCCACCCTTTGCCTTGATGACAGCTTTGCACACTCTTGGCATTCTCTCAACCAGCTTCATGAGGTAGTCACCTGGAATGCATTTTAATTAACAGGTGTGCCTTCTTAAAAGTTAATTAGTGGAATTGATTTCCTTCTTAATGCATTTGAGCCAATCAGTTGTGTTGTGACAAGGTAAGGGGGTTATACAGAAGATAGCCCTATTTGGTAAAAGACCAAGTCCATATTATGGCAAGAACAGCTGAAATAAGTAAAGAGAAACGACAGTCCATCATTACTTTAAGACATAAAGGTCAGTCAATCCGGAAAATGTCAAGAACTTTGAACGTTTCTTCAAGTGCAGTCGCAAAAACCATCAAGCGCTATGATGAAACTGGCTCTCATGAGGACCGCCACAGGAGTGGAAGACCCAGAGTTACCTCTGCTGCAGAGGATAAGTTCATTAGAGTTACCAGCCTCAGAAATTGCAGCCCAAATAAATGCTTCTCAGAGTTCAAGTAACAGACACATCTCAACATCAACTGTTCAGAGGGGACTGTGTGAATCAGGCCTTCACCACTACTAAGAAGAGGAGACCTGCTTGGGCCAAGAAACATGAGCAATGGACATTAGATCGGTGGACATTTGTCCTTTGGTCTGGAGTCCAAATTGGAGAATTTTGGTTCCAACTGCCGTGTCTTTGTGAGACACAGTGTGGGTGAACGGATGATCTCCGCAAGTGTAGTTCCCACCGTAAAGCATGAGGAGGAGGTGTTATGGTGTGGGGGTGCTTTGCTGGTGACACTGTCTGTGATTTATTTAGAATTCAAGGCACACTTAACCAGCATGGCTACCACAGCATTCTGCAGCGATACGCCATCCCATCTGGTTTGGGCTTAGTGGGACTATCATTTGTTTTTCAACAGGACAATGACCTAACACACCTCCAGGCTGTGTAAGGGCTATTTTACCAAGGAGAGTGATGGAGTGCTGCATCAGATGACCTTGGCCTCCACAATCCCCCGACCTCAACCCAATTGAGATGGTTTGGGATGAGTCGGGCGGCAGAGTGAAGGAAAAGCAGCCAACAAGTGCTCAGCATATGTGGGAACTCCTTCAAGACTGTTGGAAAAGCATTCCAGGTGAAGCTGGTTGAGAAAATGCCAAGAGTGTGCAAAGCTGTCATCAAGGCAAAGGGTGGCTATTTGAAGAATCTCAAATATAAAATATATTTTGATTTGTTTAACACTTCTTTGGTTATTACATGATTCCATATGTGTTATTTCATAGTTTTGATGTCTTCACTATTATTCTACAATGTAGAAAATAGTAAAAATAAAGAAAAACCCTTGAATGAGTAGGTGTGTTCAAACCTTTGACTGGTACTGTATGTGTTATGGCTTTACATCCCCTGCTATATTGTGGATCGAGAGTTACCTGTCTAACAGAACACAGAGGGTGTTCTTTAATGGAAGCCTCTCCAACGTAATCCAGGTAGAGTCAGTCATTCCCCAGGGCAGCTGTCTAGGCCCCTTACTTTTTTCAATCTTTACTAATGACATGCCACTGTCTCTGAGTAAAGCCTGTGTGTCTATGTATGACTCGACACTATACACGTCTGTCACGCCCTGGCTCTAGGGACTCTTTTAAGTTGAGCCAGGGTGTGTGGAGTTTATGTTTTGTGCTCGTTGTGTCTAGTCTAGTTTTTGTATATCTATGTTGGCCAGAGTGGTTCTCAATCAGAGGCAACGAGTATCAGCTGTTGCTGGTTGTCTCTGATTGGGAACCATATTTAGTCAGGTGGTTTTCCCACAGTGTTTGTGGGATCTTGTTCCGTGTTGGTTTGTGTTTTGCACCTGTGGACGTCACGTATCGATTTGTTGTTTTGTTCGTGTATCATTTAATAAATAAGTATGTTCACCTTCCACGCTGCGCCTTGGTCCTCTATATCCGACGATCGTGACAACGTCAGCTACCACAGCAAGTGAAATCACTGCAACACTTAACAAAGAGCTGCAGTCAGTTTCAGAATGGGTGGCAAGAAATAAGTTAGTCCTAATTATTTCAAAAACTAAAAGCATTGTATTTGGGACAAATCATTCACTAAACCTCAACTAATTATTGGAAATTTAGCACGTTGAGAAGAATTATCTGCTTGGAGTAACCCTGGATTGTAAACTGTCATGGTCAAAACATATTGCTGCAACAGTAGCTAAGATGGGGAGAGGTCTGCCCATAATAAAGCGCTGCTCTGCCTTCTTAACAACGTTATCAACAAGGCAGGTCCTACAGGCCCTGGTTTTGTTGCACCTGGACCACTGTCAAGTCCTGTGGTCACGTGCCACAAAGACAGACTTACAATTGGCCCAGAACAGGGCTGCACAGCTGGCCCTTAAATGTACACGGAGAGCTAACATTAATAATGTGCATGTCAATCTCTCCTGGCTCAAAGTAGAGGAGAGATTGACTTCATCACTACTTGTGTTTGTGAGAAGTATTGACATGTTGAATGCACTGAGCTGTCTGTTTAAACTACTAGCACACAACTCGGACACCCATGCATACCCCACAAGACACGCCACATGACATTTCTTCACAGTCCCCAAGTCCAGAACAGACTATGGGACGCATACAGTACTACATAGAGCCATGACTACACGGAACTCTATTCCATATCAAATAACTCATGCAAGCAGTAAAATTAGATTTAAAAAACAGATAAAAATACACTTTATGGAACAGCGGGGACTGTGAAGAGACACACACACAGGCACAGACACATGCATACACACATGATAATATGCACTATACTCACATGTACACATGGATTTTGTGTTGTAGATATGTGGTAGTACAGCAGTGGCCTGAGGGCACACACTTAATATGTGTGAAATCTGTTGTGAAATGTACTGTAATGTTTTTAAAATTGTATAACTGCCTTAATTTCGCTGTACCCCAGGAAGAGTAGCTGCTACCATGTGGATCCATAATAAATACAATACAAATACAGACCATTGTCTACCATCAGGGTGCGACTATTTCTTATGTAGCATGGTGTCACCAGGACATGGCCATGTGAAAACACTGCAAAGGCTTGTGGATGTTGTTGTTGTTGTTCTTCCTAGCTCAAGCATATATGTTTTGTAAGTGAAACCTAAAGTCCTCGCTGAAATGTCAGCTGCGATTCTTGTGGCCACTGTTGTCGTTGGTGGAATCTTGCTCATTGTCCGCCAAATGTTTTCCCCCGGAAGAAAGTGGTAGAGTTGCTCCGGTACCCGACCGATTGATCGGGGGGAAAGACAGTCATTGTGACCGGAAGCAAACAGTGGCATAGGGAAGGCCGTGGCCGGGAAGCTGCACAACCTCCAGTGTTTTATAATAAAGGTCACCTTTCAAAGTGCGCCATGGTGAGCTGTCCAACGTGCTGAAACAGTCACGTGCGTACACAGTCACTTTGTACTTGTTTACAAGCTAACAACATCAATTCAGTTTGAAATAAATTCAGTACTGGGATTAGTTATTCTTATTACAATTCCTTCACTGGAAATCACTTGTATTGATTGTAGTTTATTACAAATGATAGAGATTGAGATATATAGAGACCAACATGACACAGTCATCCAGCCACCATTAAACAAAGCCCCTCTGCTAATCATACAATATGTGTGCCTCTGTCTCCCCCCATTAGAGAGAACAAAAAGTTTACTTGCTCATCAACAACGAAGGCATCTACCAGTGTCCCTACACCAAGACTGAGGAGGGTTTCAAGATGCAGCTGGGATCAACCACCTACCTCCTCCTGGACCTTCTCAAGCGATCCTCCCCCAGCTGGTGGTGGTGGTCTCCTCCAAGCTCTACAAGTATGGCAGCATCAACTTTCGAAGACCTCAACAGGTGTGGTTTGTTCATGTTATGTTGTGTATATTGTGTTTTTACATGGGTCCTATTCATTAGTACACACCGTAGCAAACCAGTTTGCAAAGGAAAATGAAAAAACTATAGTTTCTTATTTGACAAGAGTTCAGATTAGTCCTTTCCTGTTTCAGTCAGTTTTCTTCCATTTGGTGCCTTATGAATACAACCCTTGTGTAATGTCTGTTGTGTTTCTATGGATGATTTTCTCCTTGAGGGATAATAAAATGTTCTACTTCCACTACCACTACAGTGAGAGCAGCTGCAACAAAGCGTTCTGTTACAGCCAGAGCAAGCTGGCTAATCTTCTCTTCACCCGTGAGCTGGCCCGGTGCCTGGAAGACGAGGGCATCACGGGGGTCACGGTCAATGCACTCACCCCAGGCATCGTGAGGACCAGGCTGGGGAGGCACATCCACATCCCCTTCCTGGCAAAACCTCTCTTCTACCTGGCCTCACTGGCCTTCTTCAAGAGCCCACTGGAGGGCGCTCAGAAGCCGCTCTACCAGGCGTGTTTGCCCGACGTGGAGGGTGTGGCGGGGAAGTGCTTCGCTAACTGTGAGGAGGAGGAGCTGATGCCCAAGGCAACGGACGATCACGCGGCCAAGAGGCTGTGGGACCTGAGTGAAAGCATGGTGGGGATCAAGTCTCAATAAGAGAGCTGGGATCCAGACTCTCTTCTAGAGACGATCCGAGAGACTTTTCCCTGTGAATCAAGTGAATTGGGGGATGATTGATTGAGACTGTTAGGGATTTCATTGGAACTGGGATCAGTGGGTAAAGTTCCCACTGTTTTTAATTAACCGTGGTGTGTGTGTGTATGCGCATCTGTGAGAGATGTGCAAATATTGTGTGGATGGAGTGGGAGTGGGATTGGAGCTGTGCATGCCGAGAGTACTAATAATGTGAGCAATGTGCCTGTGAAACAGAGAAGATCCATTGAAAATGTCTACATGCAGTGTTCCATGAATGTGTAACTAAGTATCCCAGTTCCCATAGGAACCTACTAGACTATATGTACTGTACTTTCTTCAACAGTGTTCACTGAATCACAAGTTCACACAATCAAAGTGGAGGGGAGCTAATTTCTAGTAGTGATTATCAAAGGGAAGCTGGACTGTCATATTTGCTTTTAACGAGTGCTTACATGTTTGGTTATAGTGCTATCGAAATATCCCCAGGGTGGTTTGAAAAGCAAGCAAATGGGTATCTAGTTCACCAGCTGTATATAAATGCTAAGGCAGCTAAGCTCATGCATACTGCATCATGCATTTGGCAGTGGGAAAAAGGGATAGGGGACTGGTTGTGTTGTGTTGCCTAATCCAGTTTTCCTCTCATGAAGTGTTTGAATTGTAAATGCGTTGCCTTCTGCTGTGAATGGATGGACGGGAACAATAAAGTTTACAATGAGATTCAGATTCAGTTGGATGATGTTGTGATGTTGATGCTGTGGTGGCTCCCTCCTCTGGATAGATGGAATCTCTCAAGTAATTCCCTTTTCGCTCCAGAGTGAGTGAGAGGGGGAGTGTGTTTTGAATGTCAATGCGGAGGTATGGCTTATGCTATACATTGACAAAATAGTCGACAATCCAAAGATAATTTCTCTACGTGTGTATGTGCGCACACACAGTTTGATTTGAATGCTTTTAAAACAATAGTGTTTCTGCAATCTAATGACATAATTATTATCTCCCACACACACACCAACACTAAAACAGTTTAGCAAACCTTGGAGCATCTAAATGCGTAGTTTGTGCTTTATTAGGTTAAATGAAACACAACAGAAATATAGAAACATGCATCATTGTGTGATAGAAACAGGATTGTGGTTGCTTGATGGGGGTATGGGCATGGGAATCTGAGGTAGAGTGGGACAGCAAAACTTCTCCAAGGGTTATAGAGCAAAACTAACATCAACGGGTAAGACAAATGTTTACATCTCAAAAGAAGTCCATCGGTAACAAAATAATATATACAGAGCGGTCTTTTTAAGTGCTCTGGATATTTAAAAATCCTGTCAAAGCAAAAACTGAACTAATCAATGGACCCATGCCCCATTGGTCATACATATTTTACTCTGCACAAATGCAGCACAGTTTTCAGCCTGTGATTGAAAATAAACAAATCATAATGTGCAGTTTTGACAGCCTTCTGAATCTTTAACATTCCATTGATTGGCAGATGCTCTTAACCAGACATATTTACAATGTGTTGGTGTTCACATCTGATGGAATTGTAGTAATTTCTTTACAATCATCAGTTTTATACTTTCTTTTGAATGCAGCTACATACAAAATATATATTTGAACACTAATTTATTGTAGTTGTAATTAAATATATTTATACTTGAAATACTTCCTTTATCCACATGGAGCAACTGTTTTATGTACCAAATGTACCAAAGGTAGCAGTCTTTTCCTATAGTCCTCACTCATTTGGCACAGTAATTAATTGTCAATTCACCTGACCCAGACAATCTTACACATTCATTGTAGTGATACGAAACACACTTTTGTCAGTTTGTCACAGCTGTGGCAACAATCTGATGAATTCATGCTTAACCTACTGTATCTTCCACATGTCCTATCTAAATGAATGTCCTTCAACTGAACAGCTAGACTCACACTAATCAATGTGTTTTGCTGGATTCACCAAGACCTCTCACCTCACATCCCACCAGGGAAAGAGATAGAGATAGAGAAATACCAGTAAGTCAGAGGACGAGAATCCCTTCCTCTCTCAGTTCAGAAGTGTTCCATACAGCTGGGCTTTGGTGAGACTGTCCTTTCTGGAGAGTCCTAACGTGCCAAATGTTTGGTATTGCGGGGGAGGGGGACAAGGTGGTAGCGGGGGCGGTGGTGGACTGCCCTGGGGAGGCGAAGGGTGCTGCATCTCGGACTGGTAGTGCTGCTGCAGCTCGGCAGCCATCTCTAGGGACCTCTGGTTTAGGGACTCAGTGGAGCTGTTTGGGCTGACGTCCTCGTACTCCTTGTTCTGCCCTCCACCTCCTCCCACGGCCCCTGCTACACCAACGCTGCCCTCCCTGTCCTTGGAGCTCGCTGAGTGGTAGTGGCTGTGCTCTGACTCCTGGCTGTCCTCCTTGCCCCGGTAGAGATGGGTCTGGTGGGCCTGCTGGCTGTGGGACTGATGGGACTGACGGAGGCCCCCCACAGGGCTGCACTGGGGGCTGGGCGTGGAGAAGCACACCGGGGTTTCCATGATGGGTCCTACCCCTCCCTGGTGGTAGTAGTCTGCCCCCTCCTGGAAGCTGCTGTAGAGGGGTCCCAGGCGGATCTTGGCGGGCCGAACTGAGAAGTGCTGCTCTGAGAAGCTGTAGGGCGAGGCCCGGCCGGGCGAGTGGTACGAGTGGGCGCTCAGGTCCTCCACACTCAGCTGCCTCCAGCGGCCAATCAGCTCCTCCTCCTCGGGCACCAGCGTGCTGCCGCGGCGGCTGTCTCCATAGACAACGCTTGGCGAGGAGGAAGGAGGGAGGGGTTCGTAGGGCTCGCTGAAGCATGAGGACATGGTGCGGCTGTAGACAGGCGAGCTGCCGTTCTGGTGGTGTGCTCCGCCATGCTCGCCGGCCTGCTGGAAGACAGTGTGGACTTTGGCGAAGCCGCCACCACCGGGACTGTCCCTCTCCCAGGAGGAGTCACTCTTCCTCTCATAGTCTCCCCCATTCCTCCAGTCCATGTAGAGGGAGTGGTGGTGGGGAGAGGAGGCCGTGCTGCTGGGTGGGCCGTTGCCCTTGTTGTCGTCCGAACCCCCTCCGCTGAAGCTGGAGTAGGAGCTGCCTGAGGTGGGGCCCAGAGAGGTGGGGAACTTGGCAAAGCACTCCTGGGAGAAGCCAGACCTCAGCCCCAACAAGGGACCCTCCTCTGGGTTACTATCTGTGGAGGTCTGGGGCCCGTAGAGCAGCTTCCTCTGGCCATGGAGGTCCATGCTTGGCCTGCGCTCACGGTTCTGATCGACCGGGCAGTACAGAGCCGTGTCGCTGCTGTACAGGTCTGACTTGTAGGCCGCCCGGAGGCCCAGGCGCTCACCTCTGTCCAGGGTGTCCAGGAGGAAGCCTTGGTCCTGGGGCTGGGGGCTAGGCGAGCTGGAGGCTTGGCTGCCACTGCAGACCTCGTCGGGCTTCTCCAGCACCTTGGCAATGACGGAGGAGGGGACGGAGTGGCAAAGAGGTGTGCCCTCCATGTGCATGGTCACGCGTTCCTGGAATTCAGCAGGCAACTGAGAAAGAGAGAGAGAGACAGTGAGGTATAGATAAAAGTGATACAGAGACAGACCGTGAGATTAATGCATGGCAGTTCTTGGAAAATGAAAAAAATTAGGAAACAGAATATACAAACATTATTTTCACACATTCGCAACAACATATTGATAATGGCACCATATGGAGATCAGACATGAAACTGAAAACTATAACTGGGGAGGTGGAACCTGGAGTTATTTCATGGATGCTAAATATTATTAGTTTGATATGTTGCTGTTGCCTCTGCCTCTCCATAGCAACAAGAACTAGCTAATTATAGCTTCATGGCTAATAGGAGCCAAGACAAAGCTGAACACTTGTGCAAACATCCTTTCATAGCAGTTGTATCACACATTCGCTTTAACCAATGTAAATACCCAATTACCATGAGATATTTAGATATGGTTTAGAACATCATTTTCAACTGCAGTTATAACAAGGTCATGGCCGCGGGAAGATATTCTGGGATGGGGTGCTGTGGAAATAGTTTGTCGACAGGGGGTGTGGGGGGGGGGTCTCCCCGCTCTCCTAGCAAGTATTCTTCTCCTCTCCTACAGGAGTAATAAAGGCCTAGTGCACTAATTTGGGGAAATATTAGTGCACTACTTCCCGCGGCTATGAACAAGGTATTCAAAAGATTGGCCCATTTACTTTAAAGACCCTTCATGCTTGTTATGCAGTGGAGCAAGTGACTAACGCACTTCAATCATGGCTGGAAAGTGATGCATCATTTCACTGTGTTGGACCACACTCCATCAATAACCTTTTGATTACTCTCCAGCCCACAAACAAACAGGCTGGAGGACATAAGTAGATCTATAACCTTTGACCCCATTGCAGCAGTGGACAGTATATGCCCAAGGTGTCATCAGTTTATCTGTTTCTTTCACTCCATATAGTAACAACACGCACACACACACACAGCACTACTTTATGACCATTACGTAACGGATGAATTGTGTTTGCATTGATATTTCCATGCAGGCGCATGGTGCCAAATGTGGTGAGGCATTTTTTAACAGTATAGGCAACGTGCCAGCTTTAAAATCTGCTCTTGCCACGCGGGCCGGGCAGGAGGCCCAGAGCTGATCCTGCGGAAAGCCTTGCCATTCTGCCCTGGCACTAACACACTCATCAATACTCGCTCGTTCCTCTCCCGTTGGAAAACAAAGCAGCATGGGCACTGTTGGGCATAATCAAATCTCCATCTCCTTATGCATATAGTTAGCGGTTAGTGTCTTAGCGCTTTGCAACCTTCCATCAATTACTCACCTACCTGTCACATAATGTACCTGTATCGTTCCATTGTTAATCACTGTCAAACATTTACCTCATAAGCAATCCATCAGTGGAGTAATCACCATATGATTCGTATTGTTGATGTATTGGAAGTTTGGAACTATTTCAGCGAGGGCCCAGGTTTTAATCCCGTAATCCTGGCTCATGCATTGATCGATGTGAATGGATCAAGACTTGTGCTAATATTTGCAGCACTGCAAATCGTGCCCATACCTCAAGTCAGGAGGATTCAGCTGCTTAGATAAAGGAAGAGGGTTGTTTTATCTCCTGGGGATTTTTATCCAAGTGAATTTCCCTCCCTGTGTAGCTTCACTAACACCATCCAACGGCTGGGGTTGAGGAAGTCGTAAGACCGTAGCTTTAGCTTAGCATTAGCTTTAGCTTAGCCGGTGTAGTATGTTGATAATAGGCAGCAGCAGACCTGGGTTCAAATAGTATTACTTTTCTTTCAAATACTTTAGCTGTGCAAGATTGCCCTTGCCAGGCGCAATGGAGCTAGTAGAAAAATCCCCAATGGTCAAATCCTGCCTATCTGTCACTGTGGGCAAGCTCAACCAAGCGCTTAAAGTTTGAAAGAAAATAAAGTACTATTTGATCCCAGAGAAAATAAAGTACTATTTGAGCCCAGGTCTGATAGGCAAAGAAGTTGGGGACATACATATAATTACTAAACCACTGCAATTTGACTGGACTCATGAGTACAATCAATGTGGCTGTTCAAGTAATTATATGTCTGTGGTTGGGGGAGGACTCACCTCAGAGAGCTGGGTCCTGTAGTGGGACTTGTTGCACTGGAGCAGCTGGGCAGCCAGGTTACAGTCCTTCCTGTACAGATCCTACAGGACAGAGACAGTGTTAGAATGTGTTAGAAGAAAACATGCTCTAAAGAAATCATATTTTCTAAAGAAACACACTGCATTGAATTCAAGGATGAGCCAGGACCGGGACTTGAACTCAGGTGTCTGTCAGTCCAACACCTTATATAAAGAGCTCCAAAACTCTTGGCGAAGATGATAGGTGTTGTACACTAAGGTTGCTACAATACACTTTGAGGGTTGGGACTATACTTTTGATGACCTATAGATCTGACCCCATAGAGTGCCCTTACATTGTCTTCCCTCAGTTTCTCAATGGTCAGCTTGGCTTCTATCAGGTGGTTGTTGAGCACGATGATCTCTCTGCTCAGGGCTCTCTTCTCGTCGTCATGGTGCTGAGACTAAGGAGAGCAAAGACTCATGTCAGACTCAAGTTGCAAATACATTGTTGTTTTTTCTTCGATTTCATTGCTTGGCAGTGCAGGAGAACCCAGCCGGATGCCATATCCTACATATATTTGCCTACAATCATATCATGTGTAACCATGCTTTATTGCTCACACATAACTTTAAATAGTCTAAAGGTATACAAGAGTTTTCCATCATTCTCTGTGCCTCAGATCACACAGGACACACAATTCTCAGTGGCCTCAACTCGTGACAATCTTACCTTGAACTGGCTGAAACGGCAGAATTTCACTCTCTCTTCCAGACAACATGACAAAGTAGCAGAAGTGTAACTGTTCTCATTGTTCAACTGAAAGTTTCATATCAACCAACGTCTGTAATTATGTATGTACGTACTTAATTCAGAATTACTATTTAATCTTGAGACTCAGAAGAAATATTTGCCTTTTAGCCATCATACCTTTTTTTTGTTAGCCACTAGGGCTATTATTAACCTCTTAGATGTAAAGTCCCCTGTTCTGGTACCGGTTCAACCAACATTTTCGCTTATAAATCGATATGTGGACACCATAGATCTAAATGGCTTGCTTGAGCTGTAGCCGTGATTCTCATGAACACAGGAGTATGTCTCTTCTGCCTGTGTGAAGCAGGATGTGAAATCTAACACCACTTGAAACTGGGATGTCCCGCCTACCATTTAATTCGCTCTTCCGACCGTCCATCAACTCCTGGCAGAACACTACGTCACAGCCACTAACAACAATATGCATGAAATCCTTACATCATAACGCAGCAGGAGAGTGTTGTTTCGTCGCTGTAGCACAATCAGAGATCGATGTATAGTGTTGTTTATAAAGAATAATGCTAATCTTTGCTGTGAGACCAAGGAGTCCGCTTACACTGTACTTTGATTATAAAGTTTTATTTATATCACAAGATTTCAGCATAAGTTTACAGACGTCTGCAGGCATCTGGAGAACAGCGACCCAAAATAATATGTTTGTTCTGATCTCCTTTGTCTCAACCAAGTATTTATAATCTTTACCATAATATGGGTGGTTTCCCATACAGACCAATCACCTGTCTCCACACAACAGACTTCCTCTGTTCTATGGGGTGTCCCCACAAAACTGCTCCCCAGATGCTCCCTCCAAGCTGAATAAACATCCTCTCAGATACCATTTGAAAACGTTAGCAAAGTCATAATTCCTCAGATACTACAATAGCCAGTAATAAAAAATAATTCATAGATTTTAAACAAAAAACACTTTCTGTTTGTCATAGACAGATAAGATTAATATGAGATGAAAGGCGAGTTCCTAACGAGTTCAGGAATCCAAGTTAGAACTCTGTGAGACATTCACAGCAATGGGGGCAGACGTTTTGAACAAGAGAGACCTTTAGAAAATATGCAAATTTTCTCTAACACTAAATATACAAATAATTTATGTATTTTACAGTTATAAGGAAGGTGAAATCTTATTTTATAAATTGATTATACTATATTTAGAAAAATATGTAAGTCATTTCAAGCCTTATTCATACAGTTCTGTTGAATAGGAAATACATCATATGAGATTGTAACGTTTCTTAAAGTATGCAGCATTACTAGTTATTGTTTATGGCCCTCTCGTGATACATACATACTTTTGAGGATGACATAGATTACATTTTCGATTACATTTAGTTACATTTAAGAGGATTTATAGCATCCTGTTGGCGCTATTAGCGTCTGGTGCTATTAACCTCTGGCGCTATTAGCCTTTGGTGCTATTAGCCTCTGGTGCTATTAGCCTTTGGTGCTATTAGCCTCTGGTGCTATTAGCCTTTGGTGCTATTAGCCTCTGGTGCTATTAGCCTCTGGCACTATTAGCCTCTGGCGCTATTAGCCTCTGGTGCTATTAGCCTCTGGCACTATTAGGCTCTGGCGCTATTAGCCTCTGGTGCTATTAGCCTTTGCATTTTCACGACTACCTGTACCCCAAAGCTCTGTGGCCTCGATTCTTCTCTCTCTCCAGCCAAGTCAATTTATCAGAAATTATGGGTCTACAGGCTTCACCATGAAGATTTATAACTCTAGGTGAGTAAACTAGGTGAAAGCCCACCAAGATGGTGCTAAAACTTGGCATTGTGTTCAGCTGGTCCCCCCAGAATGAATTATCCACACATCAGTTAAAAATTGAGTTGCATCTTCTAGGTGCTTCTACACTGTACCACTGAACTGACTGGGGCTTCTGACTGAAGCAGACTGTCCTTGCCACTTGCCAAGATGCTCTGGCACTCCCTTGAATAAAGATGGCACAATTAGGCAAGATCCTGATCATCACTGGAGATTTTGAATTGTTCGAGAAGTTTAAACTGTTTCGACTATGCCTCCTGTACCTCATCCTCCCAATTCGCTAGTTCAATTTTTGTCCAAACAAACC